GTTATCTCAAGTATTCGAGACAAACATTGTTATATTTCTTTCAAACGGTTGTATTTAGTATTCTTAGTAGTCCGTGGATGTTGTGACACCAGGTTCTGGGTAGAGGCATGTATTGACTTTCAAAACATTCTGGTTTTATATTTATTTAAGACTTCCGCTTAAATCTCATATTCCGCTGTTATTTAACTGTTTATTTCCATGTTAATCTAATTGGTAAGAAGATTTAAAATAAAGGAGTTAACGATTTCTAAGTTCATGGCTTGCCTAACTTCTACGAGTAGACGCCATCACGACTCCCGAGGGTGGGAAATCCGGGTCGTGACAGTAGATATCCTAAATGTTCTTTAATGTCCTTACTAAATACTAATATATCATCTACATATACTAAAACAAATCTCTTATATTCTCCAAATATACTATCCATTTTTCGTTGAAAAATTGGTGGATCTGTTTTTAGTCCAAACGGCATTACCAGCCATTCGAAATGTCCCTCTGGACAAGTAAATGATGTCCATTCGATGCTTTCTTCATGCATTTTTACTTGCCAATACCCTGATTTACAGTCAAACTTACTGAATATCTTTTTTCCTTGTATTCTATTTATCAGCTCTATTTTATCTGGTAACTTATATCTGTCTGTTCTAGTATTATCATTAAGTCTCTTATAGTTTATTACCATTCTTGTTTTTCCTCTTACTATCTCACTATGATTTCTAACCATGAAAGTTGATGACCTGTGTTTAGAAGTAGATCTCCTTATTACACCTAAATTCATAAGTTCTTTAATTTGAATTTTGAAGTCTTCTAAATCTTGATTTGTGGCTCTATTGAAGCTGTTTTAATTATATATTCTGGATTAATTATATCTAATTTATACATAACTTTATTATTTTTCCAATGTTTTAAAGGTGTTTCTCCTATTATTTCTATTTCATATAATATTCTTATTATATTATGCAGATCTTTTTCATTTTTTATTATTTCTATTTTTTGTATTCCTGTTTTAAAATTGTATAATTATGTTTCGATATCTATTAAAATATACTCTTTTTCTAATATATCTTTGTCTTCATTTTTATTTTCTTCTAGTATTAAGGTTTTAGATTCTTCTCTAATCTTGCAGCATGTATTTTATCTTTGCACTCTTTACAACATTCTTTTTTGATTTTTTTGCAGGTTTTTCTAGTCTGCATTCAATCGTGTCCTTATCCTGGTTGCAGCTTCTATTTTTTGTACTGGTGTTTGTGTAATATTTTTAAAAAATATTACTCCATCTCTACTGAGTAGGCAGCTACCATTATTATGTAATATAAAACTTAATCCTAATACAAAGTCTACATTTATATTTAAGTCTCTTACCCAAATTTTGTCTACCTTGTAGCTAGGTTTATAGAAATTTAAACATGTATTTATAAAGCTAATCTGTGATTTATCTACATAATATTTGTATATATTATGGGTTCCATCCATCTGCATAGCCGCAACTGGCTTATCTAACGTTTTGATTAGATTTGGGGGAACTATCTTTTTGTTTATTATACATCTTGTGCATCCGGAATCTACTAAAGTTAATGTTTCTATTTCGTAATCCTCTATTTTAATTCTTGCTAAAAAAAATTTTGTGCTTAATCTTTTATCTTCATTACATATCAGCGCATCATAATTTTCTATGCTCATTAGTTCTTCTTCTACTTCTGTTATATTTTCTTTGATGTCTTCCAATTTCTCTTTTCCTTTTTCCATTTTTTGTATTCTTTTTTCTAATTCATTTACTCTAGCTTCCAGTGTCATTATTCTCAAATTCATAGTAGAATCATTTATCTCTTGGTATTTTTCTTCTTTATTTATTTTTGTTTTAAAATCTTTTTCTATACATGAAATACATCCCTCTAGATAGCATAGTTTACATTTAGCCCTTTTATTTCTACTAGGGTACCATTTGCATATAAAATACTAATTACTATCTAATCCTTTATTTCTTTCAAAATTATGGGTACATTCCTCCGATATGTTTACAAAAGTATTTTCTTCTAAATCTAATTTTTTTAATCCTATCTCATTGATTAATTCTTCTTCTTCTGATTCTGAAGTATCTATTTGAGCTTTATCTTCTATACCTACACTTACTATAGAGTATATATTTTCATTATCTTACATATATTCGTCTACATTTATTAAAGTTTCTTGAAAATCTTCTATTAACTATGAATTTCTTGTCTTATTACTAATCCTTTTTTGGCACGTATTTGCTAAGTGTTCTACACTACCACAAGTAAAACATTCTAGTTTATTTTTATAGTTTCTATACTTTCTAACATGTCTATCTCTATCTAGGTATGGTTTTCTAGCTGATGATTTTCTAAGATAATAATTTTTTCTATTGTATCCCTTATTGTATTGAGGTTTATATTTCCTATATTTCTTCTTTTATATTCAGTTTGTCATAACTTTGTGTTGTATACACAGTTGATCTACAGAAACTCATAGTATTCTGTTTTAGTTGTTTTAGTATCTGTGTATGGGTACATTTTTCTTGTAGTATTTCCATTATATGTTGTACTTTGTGTCCTATAGACCATTTTGCATGAGGATTTTGTATTACCCCCTCTCGTTTATACCATCGTTCTTCTATTTCTCTACCTAAAACTCCTGGTAGTTTATTAAATAATTTTTTACCTAGATCCTGATCAAAAGCGTTTCCACTAATAGTACAATAATAAAAATAATCGTTTAAAAACTTTTTTATGTGAAACCAACTGCTTATGCTTAATTGTTCTAATTTTATTAAAGCGTTCTTCTGTAATACTACTAATCCACTATTTGGATCTTCACCTGTGATTAAGCTATGTATTTTATTTGTAAAATTATAAGGATTTGGTCTCATTGCTATTAAGGTTTGAAAGTCTTGTGGAAATTCTGACTTATAGGCTTCCCATAAACCTTTTGTTGATTCTCCTAAGAAAGTCTCCATATATTTATACATTGTTTCTGCGTCTGTGTCATTATAAGTTTTTATAAAGTCTGCTACTACTATTCCTTTCCATAGGTCTATTACTGAGTTCCACATTTGTGGGTCATGAGCAGCTATATTTATTATTTTACCCTTACTTCCTCCTTCCTGTAATCTTATAGGTTCTTCTATAGGCATTATTTTTCCTGATGGTTTTACATTTTCTATTTCTGTCTCTTGATCTACTCTATATACTCTTCTTCTAGGTACATTTCTAGTGCTAGTATCTATTGTACTTTGATGAGTTGTTCTCTGAAATGGGCTTGGACTAGAACTAGTTGATTCCATTAATTCTTTTAGAGATTCTTTTTTTGTTTCTTCATAACTATCTTGTATTTCTTCAAAGATCTGATCGAATTTATCCAATTTTTTCTGTGAAATATTTTCCTTTCTATATCCCAGTTATCTATTCTTAATTCGCATTTCTTAAAATGTTCTTCTACTTCGCTTAAGGTTAATTTTTCAAGTTTACATCTTGTACACTGGAAAGTCTTATTTTTATTTTCTTTAACTAGTCTCCTTACTTTTTCTAAGGCTATGTCTACTTCAAGTTCGTCTTGTATTATTTCAACATTCATAAATTCAGTATCGTTATCTTCTACCGTACTTTCAGTTCCATCATCTATTTCTTTATGGGTAGAATAATTATAATCAGTAAACCTAATTGAAGTTTTTCCTTTTGAATTGGTATATATCAAATGTGATTCTGGTTTAAATATTTTTGGCTTTGCAAAATCTTCTAGATTCCATTCTAATCTAGCATATTCTTCTGGGTTTATCTTAATAGGTTTTATTAATTTTATCCCTTTATTTTCCATTATTTCGACTGCATTGTCTACTTTAATTTTAAATTTTGTATTATTATTAGTTGTCATTTTTCCTATGAAACCTACACATATCAGTAGATTATTTCCATTATTCATTTCTTCATATCCTTTAGTATGTATTTCTATTTTAATATTTTTTCCAAATTCTGCTAAATTTATCATGAAATCTGGGCTAATATAAAATATTCCTCCATTATTGGTCATGTGTACTTCTGTTAAACCTATTATAGATTTCTTTTGATCTGACCATCTGTCATCATATACTACTATTAGTACTTTAGTTCCTAAATTCTTTCTAGTTAATCCTTTTAATCCGATTACTATTAATCCCATATGCATTAAAATTTTTTTATAATTTTTTATTTGTCGCACTGATTCTGGGTTAATTAAATTTAATGTTGCAACTTTATTTCCTATGGCTGATAATTGCTCTTCTCTATAATGTCTATATAGTTGAGAATTATTTGAAAAATATCTTGTATTATATAATATTCTCGGATTAAGTAACCTTAGTTGATTTTGTTGAAAAATTTGTATGCCTTTGTCAATATCTATTATTTCGTCTAATTTCTGATTTTCTTCTTGTCTTTTTCTAGTTAAAATTCTTGCTAACATATTATTACCTGTTCTATTATCTGAAAAACTTATTCGTGATCTTTCTTCGTTCATTGTTCTTGACCTACCTGGAAAAAGGTCCATTTTTGTGGTGGTTTTCTGAATTTAAGTCTATCTTTTTGCGGTGTTATTTTTACTCTTTTTAATTGTTCTATTAAATCGTCTACTTTTGGAATTTCAGTTTTTATCTCTTTTTCTTTATAGTTTGAGTCTTCTTTAATATGGTCGTTCAAAGCTGTCAACATTCAAGCTTCAATGATAGTTAGAACTTGCTCAATTCACCCAAGTAGATAAATTGCACTGAGTTAACTTCATTATTATTGTCAAAATTGATCTTAACGTAGATTAGTTTATGTCTTCTCTCATAAAGTATGGTAATGGAATGAAAATAAACTGATTAGAAAAGTGGAATGAAAGAATGAGACAAAGGATTGATTGAACTCTGGCTTGCATATTTCACTTCCATATCTTACAAAATTGGTTTTCAAGAATTGGCATATCTATAAAAAATGGTTGCCTGAAATATTACTAATAATGTACAAGATCTTCTAAGGAGTAAGGATGTTAAGGAGGCAGACCCTGTTTCTGATCAATAACCTTGACAACCTATCTATGCCAGCCTCTAGACTCTGAAGACCAGCATTTAATATCTGCAACTTTTTCTGGATCATTGGCACATCAACTTTAAAATCATTGCTGTGAATTTTAGAATAAAGAGAAAAATCAACACACTCCACCTCATTGATTGTGTTTTCATCTCCCTTGACAGCTGATTTTGTGACAAGCATCTTTGATATCAATGACCACCCGTTTTTCTTCGCGTTTGAAGCTGGCGCGGACAAGAAAGATAGTTGGGATCTTAGAACTGAGATGGTCAAAGCAGATACTTCTCTTAACACTGCACTTAGCTTAGATAAAGACTGATCAGAATCTACTTGAGGAGATGATTCTATCTTGTTTTCTACTATTTGTTTTAGTGTTTTGAGGTTCTTGGCTATATCCTTCTTCACTTTCTTTCTAAAACTAATATATGCATCGAAGCAATTTTGTGTGCTTGAGTCTCCAACTTTTCTCCTCAGTGCTGATTGAAGATCTTGCACTTGTTCTTTCATCATCAAGACTAACTCCCTCGTCGTGCCACACGAGTCTATTAATCCAACAGAGGACTCAAGAGCTTCTTCTACTAATCTTCCCGTTTGATGTTTGAGGAGAGCTTGTTGAGTTGTCGGGGACTCGAGAAGATCTTTAACACAATTATACAACTCTGCTAGCCCTACAATGCCTTCTTGAATGGTGTTTAAACTAAGAGGAGTTGCTGTTGATGAAATAGATGAGGATTCCCATGTTTTTAGCCTGTTTAGCTCAATCTCAACTTTGAGATACTCTGGCTGTGATCGAGAAGGAAAACTAATAGACCTAACATGACTTGAAATAGCCATCTCTAAGAGTTATTATGTTAGCTAATGCTGAAACTTAGTGGTCAAGTGAATGCTAGAAAATGATGCTTGCCTCTACTTATATCAAAGTAATGTTAATGTGGTTATGTGGATCTTCCTATTTTTTTCAATGATTGTAGTGGTGTTTATTGGTGTAGCCAACAGCCGGCAGCCACAATTGTTTTTGTTTCTTGGGTCTAAAATAGGTTACATTAGGCTCTAGTCCCTTTTTCCAATAGTGATTCTGACATTGAAATAGTTAAGTATATTGTTGCCGCCCCAATCATTATGTGAAACCAACCTCACTGCCTGAGATTGAATCATTGAAATATGAAAATGGTATCTTTTAGTAGTTATGCCTACTACAACTCTTGTAAGTTTCAACATTACCAGCTGGCTCTTGATTCTTGCTGGATTGAAAGAACACAAATCCAAGATGTCCCAATTAGTAAACTCTTAATTTCACCAGGAAAATTACAATATGAAACACTGGATTTTGTGCTCTTCAATTACAGCCTTGCACAATCAGTGTAGTGTCTGCAGTTGTTCTTATGAGTTTTTTTTCTGCAAAGAGAAACAAAATCCACTGCCTATTGAAATATTTTAACCAAAACTGCATCTGGTAACAAAAAAGATTGTGGGTGCTTCATGATACATAGGCATCAAAAAAAATTCGAACAATTTCCAACAAACACTCTATCTATTTTATTCAATCTGGATATTAATTTAGTTCATTGTACAATGCAACTGTGAGTGAAAGAATTAATTTTCAGTTCATAGTGCTTTATGTCAGATGAAATCTTCTGAGATTTAAAGTTTATGAGTTCTGAATTCATAATGGAACTCATAATTCTTTCTAATACAAATATACATATTTAATAAATTTTCTAATACAAATATATTGTCTAAGCAAAAATTACTCAATTCGGCCTAACATGTACCTACTAGGCTAACTCCGCCCCTGCTCATAACCATCCATTTTTTGTATAAATATCTGCTTATATCTTTGTCTTACTATTAATGCATGTCTTCTATATATTATTCCTTGGCTAAATACTAATCGGATTATTAGCTAGAGATGTTCGTAATGTTGCGGAAACCAAATGTATATAGTGTGAATGAGTCACAACTACTATATCAAAAATTATGACAGCCACCAAATAATAAATAAGACAATGAAACAACAATAAAAGGAATACCAAAATTTACGAGGTTCGGCTAATTTTGCCTACTTCCTCGGACACAACCAATATTTTATTCCACTCCAAAATACAAGTGAAATAATACTAAAGAGAGAAAATACAAATGCCTTAAGAAGATGAGGAGGCAAATGAGAGGTGCGTTTAAATCCTAAACATTAGGCTTCCTTTTATAGGGTGAAATTCCCACCCAATTTTCTCCCCAACCGATGTGGGATGTTTTGACATATTCAACACGTAAAACTATACCCTTTATACAACTCCTGAGACCGTTAATCAATAAAGCAGTAAAATTAATGTAAGTTTAAACCTTGAAGCTGTTAAACATCATTAGGACAGGAATCTGAAACTAATTTGGTGATGTTTAGTCAACCATAAACATTCTTGTCTTGATATCTGTCACTATCATGTTTTTCTTATAACTAAGAATAATGAACATGCACTAAACAATTATTGTTTTAGGTATTACTATATGTTTGCATTATAATCGTTGCATATTTTTCCTATGAACCAAATGATCCCTAACAGATCAAGTCCAAGGTTGGCATCACGATCTGTATCTATCATTATACCATTTGATTCTTCAATTATGGTGAGAAGATTTAGGAGTGTGTTATATCCGTACGTGATAATGTTCTCCAGTACAGCCAATTAGTACCAAAAAATACTTCCATTGAACAAATTATAAAATTATTTCTTCACGATGACTAATTAGTGCAGTATTATTAGTATATTCTTGTTAAATCTGAGCCAGCATTAATTCTATGCTAATATCCTCAAAATATTCTTTACATTAATTAATTATAATTTAAATTAATAGTGTAGATAAGACTATCTTAAAGCGAGTAAACATTCTAGTGGAACTCTATATATTATATTTTTCATTTAGTAGTTAATTGTCTTACTTATCTTTATTCATAACAATTTCTTTTTAAACATTATGATGAAGATTATCCAGCTTAACGATGACCTTTCCAAACATGATACACACAATTGAGCTTTTGGAATGCATTTTCTAGCGACCTTCAGCTAAAATTTGAAATTAAAAAAATTAAGGTAAGTCGCATATATAGCAAAGGGGACCTACTGTTATTATAAAGAACCCCAAATTTCCAGGCGAATTCCAATTCCTCGTAGTGGTAATTATAATGAACACCAAAATTTCATGCCTGAAGAAGAAACTTCTTTTGGTTACGTGGCACTTTATTTCGAATGGGATGTGTTAACCAAAATTGTGGCACCAATTCGCGTAGTGCTTACTATACAAGCAACAGAGCCCAACTGTATAAACAATACAACATTAAGTAACTAAATTCAGTTACATTAATATGATAACAAATAATTTTATAACTTTACTAGTCTGATGAAATTAACTCAAAAAGAAGCAGATGGACCTAACATGACACTGAAATTCAAGAGCTTAAAATGAGCTATAGGTTTTCTAACAATTTAGAACACATAAACTTTAAATTTTAACTTCGCTTCTAAGTAGGCATCTTTAGAGTTATTTGGATGTCGATTAAAATAACTCAAAGATGAAGTGAATGCTGAAGACGAAATGAAGCTTTCGGCCTACTTTTATGAATCCAATTTCAATGAGGAAACAGAATCCATGCAAATTAAACACTGTGGTCTCCTTTTCTTTTTCCACTATTTAATTTGTTTCTGTGCAATAATGATAGCTATTTTTCTTTTGGAAGAGGAAACAGGATTACAAGGTGAGAAATCGAATACTTACCATGAAAGTTCGAGTAGCCAATCAACAAGCTACTGAGATTTCCAACCAGTGGTATCCATTTGCCAACTGTCGATAGTCTATTACAGTAATTTTTGTCCCCTTCAAATCTTGTGTGTCACAAAATAGGCTACTAACAAATTGATTCAATCAATCTGGTGTACATCATCTCAGCTAGAGAGAAACAGGACAGAAAATGCCTTTTTGCAGCCCCACTCATCAGTGAAAAGATTTCCTACTCTACAGTCCAGGAGGCATATTCTAGCAAGTTGTTTTTTCCAGATAAAAAACTCTCAACTTTTGATATGCGTAGCTGGCCTATTATTTTTGCTGAGTCCGAAACCGAAGTATTATTTTTTTGGATTCAAAAGACCCTTTTAGGTGAAAAAAATTTAGTTACCAAAATATATAAAACGCAATTTTAGACCACGTTTTACCTTAACAGTCGTTTGGGACGTTAAAGTAAAACATAGTTTAACACTACGTTTTACAAAAACGTGGTTCACAGCCGCGTTTTCTGTGGTCTCCCTTTCTACCCATAAAGGAAAGGAAAGGTGAGTAATGCTTGGGTCCCACTCGGCCATTGAGTCTATTTGCTGAGGAGATGAGTACATGAGCAGTGAATTCTTTGTCCGTAGATGCCAATTTAAGGGCGTGGGTGTACAACTGTGGTACATTGGGAGATTATTTGTACAATCTTTATCAGCCTCTTTTACTTTTCCATTTCTTTTGTGAAAAATAAATATTAGTGTGTCTAATTGAAGACGAAATTTAAGAAATTAAAATTGACATATTATTATGTGTCGCAATACTAAACGTGACATAATATATCATGGTCCTCAATATTTCATGTCACTTTTAGCATAGTTTTTAGATATAAAAAAGTGATAATATCTTTTGAAGTTTACTTTATATATATACACATAATAATTGTATACTGTAATTTTTTTGTGTAATTTACGACTTGATAATATGTCATTCACTATATTTATAGGCTACTATAGTCCACGCTCGTTGTAAATAATTGTCGGTAACTGACTTTTAGCTTAAGAGTCTAATAATCCCTGTCTTAAAGTATCTATCGTGTTTCTATTTTACACGCTCATTAAAAAAATACTAAATAAAAGTTTTTTTATTATTTTTACCCTTATTTATACCCTAAAATATAATCTCTCTTAATTTAATATTTACTCATAATTGAGATATTTATAGTCAGAAAATAATTAATATTAAAGGTAAAATAGAAAAAAAAATAATTAATTCAGTCTTGAACTTCTAAAATGACAAATAATTTTAGAAGACTATTTTTAGAAACCATAACAGATGATTTGAGACGGATGGAGTATTTGGCTTAGCTAAATTTAAATATTCCTAATGTATGTGGTAGTGTTTGACTCTGTATTATATTTAAGAATGAATAAAACCTTTGAATTTTATGATCTAAAACGAACTATAGATATTTAATGTGGTTGCAATTATTTCATTATAGACAAAGTAGAAAATTTAAATATCCTTGAAGTTGTTAACAACAAAAACAACTTATTGTTGCTATGTTTTTAATTATAATTATTTCAGATACAAATTATTTTGTGTCTCAATGGACTATAAGGAATTCTTTCCTTTTACCTCATCTTATCATCATACGGTACAATATTTTAAAATATGATATCACAATTTTTTCAACGTATTAAGCAGTTTATATTTATAAAAAATTTCTGTCAAAGATGATCCCAAATTTACGTGTGCTATTGGAATAAGAAAGAAAGAATAAAGTATGAAAAATCTGGTTTTAGTATAATGAGGTGCAAACAGGAGACACATGCAACCCCAAAGGATGATTTGCAAGACCGGGGATAGAAATGTGTTGTGAAGAATGGCAGCTTTAGAGGCAATTAAAGATTGACGAAGGAAGAAAACTGGCTTTGGGTTTTGAAATATATATTTAATTCTGTCGATTTTCCTATTTTTTCACGCATACAGTTTCAATAAAAGTTATTTTTAAAAAAAAACGTTTGAATATGTTTTGTTTGCGAAAATAGATTCTGCGTTTGAAAGCAAAACAAAGAAAA